TGTTTAAAAGACCACAGGCCAGCTTTGTGCTGTTGAGTGTGGCTAAGAGACCACTGTGGTGTAATGCCACCGTTGTGCTAAATTTAACACAGCTGTCGTCCCTAGCAAATAAATCAATAAAGCTGGCATATCCAAGCACAGCTGCAAGGGCAGCAACTGAAGAACTCTATTTATTCTCCCTCTCCCCAACCCTGCATATGTTATAATAAAACCAAGCCACTGTGAGATTCCCTACTCCACTTGTTCTGAAATGACCTAGTGCCCCGTATAAGCTTGGGCAGCTTTAGGTTAAGTTAGTAAGAGTAACAAAGTGAGTGATGGAAATGTCCATTTCATTATTGAGGGTAATCCTTTTAGGTATGTTGTTTGTCATTTGTGAGTGGGAGGCTCTGCATCGCCAGAGATTCAGAGCCCATTCCTAGGGCTTAAAATGTCAATGCAGGCCTATGTTGTGACTTCCACAGCCGCACAGCATTCCCCTGAGAAACTTCCAGGGACTGTTTATCCTTGCCCTTACTTTTAGAATTAAACTGGATACATGTGTGCCAGATTTAAATACCCTGATGTTGTTGTGTACTTCCAAATCATTTCTATCTTACGGTGACCTTAAGGGGAACTTTTCAGTGGTTTTCATGATAGGCATAGGAGCTCCTGGTGGCGCAATGGGTTAAACCCTTGTGCCGGCAGGACTGCTGACTGACAGGTCAGCAGTTTGAATCCAGGGAGAGCGGGTCGAGCTCTCCAGCTCCCCATGCGGAGACATGAGAGAAGCCTCCCACAAGGATGGTAAAACATCAAAACATCCAGGGAAACATCCTTGCAGACAGCCAATTGTATCACACCAGAAGTGACTTGCAGTTTCTCAAGGCACTCCTGACACAAAAAAACAGGTAATAATAATAATAATAATAATCTTTATTTGTACCCCGCTACATCTCCCCGATGGGGACTCGGTGTGGCTTACATGAGGCCAAGCCCAAAACAACAATTACATGAAATAAAACAAAACCAAAAACGCAAATAATAAACAATAATAACGCAATTATATAAAATAAAGACAACATAGCAATATAAAATTACAGTAAACACAATCACAATAACATGGGCGAGCTACATATAATGGATAAAAGAAAGCTGGGTAGAAACAGATTAAAAACTCAGGCGAGATAAACAAGGACAGATTATTTGCGGAGGAGAGCTCGTTTTGGTGGAGGTCATGAAGCAAACCTTTCCTATAAGGGGGGTGGGATGCACTCCAATAACAGAAACCGTTAAAACTAAGCACTAGTATGAGGATGTAAATCTATTAATCAAATGCACAGTGGAAGAGCCAGGTTTTGAGGTTCTTTTTAAAGGCTTCTATAGTAGGGGCTTTCCTAATCTCTCCAGGAAGTAAGTTCCAGAGTCGGAGAGGCACAGAGGAAAAAGCTCTCTCCCTTGTACTCACCAGACAAGTCTGGGAGACTGGCAGGGGCGAAAGAAGGACCTCCCCAGAAGAACAGAGGGCCTGAGACGGTTCATGGAGAGAGATATGGTCACGAAGGTAGGCGGGTCCCAAACCGTTTAGGGCTTTATAGGTGATAACCTGCACCTTGAATTGGGACCGGAAAATAAATGGCAGCCAGTGGAGCTCCTTAATCGGGGGGGGGGGGGGGGTTGACCACTCCCTGTAAGTTGCCCCAGTTATTAGTCTGGCTGCTGAACGTTGGACAAGTTGTAATTTCCAGGCCGTCTTCAAGGGTAGCCCCATGTAGAGAGCATTACAGTAGTCCAATCTAGAGGTCGCAGTTGGCGCACAAGTTTTAATTGTGCGAAGGCCCTCCTGGCCACCACCGACACCTGCGCATCAAGCGTCAGCGCTGAGTCTAGGAGGACCCCCAAACTGCGGACCTGTGATTTCAGGGGGAGTGCAACCCGTCCAGCACAGGTTGTCACCCAATACCCCGGTCAGCCGAACGACTGACCTGGAGGACCTCTGTCTTGTCAGGATTGATCCTCAGCTTGTTCTTCCTCATCCAGGTAGCCACAGCAGCCAGGCACTGGTCCAGTATTCTCGGGGCTTCCTTGGAGTCAGATGAAAAAGAGTAGTGGAGTTGGGTGTCATCTGCATACAGATGGCACCGTATTCCAAAACTCCGGATGACCTCTCCCAGCAGTTTCATGTAGATGTTAAATAGCATGGGGGACAGAATAGAACCTTGCAGGACCCCACAGGTCAATGACCAGGGGTCCGAACAGGAGTCCCACAGCTTCACCCTCTGGGAATGGCCCTCCAGGAAGGACCGGAGCCACAGTAAGACTGTGCCCCCGAGTCTCATCCCAACAAGCTTCCCCAGAAGGATACCATGGTCAATGGTATCGAAAACCACTGAGATATCCAAGAGAACCAGCAGGGTCACACTCCCTCTGTCAAGCTCTCTTCAAAGGTCATCCACCAAGGCGACCAAAGCCGTCTCGGTACTGTGCCCAGGCCTAAAGCCAGACTGCGAGCGATCCAGAAAATCGGTGTCATCGAGGAATCCTTGAAGCTGCGAGGCAACCACCCTCTCCAGAACCTTGCCCAAAAATGGGAGGTTGGAGATTGGTCTGTCTACAGACTAGTCTACTACAGACTGGTCTGTAGTAGATAGGCATAGTGCTAGCAAAAGCAATCTTAAGCTTTGTTAGGTGTAAATGGTCAAACTGCATATGGAACATAGTAAGATTTCTTGTTGCTATTATGTAACTTCAAGTCAATTCTGGCTTCTGGTGACTATCCCAACATGGGATGGGAGCATGCAATGTGTACTGAATCACCCAGAGGGTTTCCCTGTCTAAATTGACAAAAGCAAGAGCCCCTGATTCTAAAGTAGCAACCACAATGCTTCCTAATAAAGAACAACTTAATTTATACATAATCTTACAGCGTAGTCATATACAAATGTACTCAAAAGTAAGCATAGGTGATTTAAGTTGAGCTCAATCAAAGGTAAATGCACATAGAACCCTAATTCTTAACAAATATGTTCAATCAAAACAGAATTGCCTGTCTGCTTTGCCACCTTGCATGCTTCAAAGTGGTACAAGAAAGTTCTACTTATATAGTCAAAGTAGAAACTGGATGTCCTATTTTTAAAGTGCATGCCTCACCAACGTCATGATTCATTTGGAAGGCCTATCTTCAAATCCTTATTTGTCATGAGGTCATTCTGGAATTTCACAGGAAGCTGTCAAATATGCTTTATGTGTAAGAAAGCTGGCCAAAGATTAAAGGAAGGTGATTTTTGAGATGTATCATATAGCATGTACATTCCCGGGAACACCGGCACCGGTTAGTTTATTTTCAGGCAAAGTTAAATGATAGGCCAGCTTTCAAATTGATTGGGTCCAGGAAATGGGGTGTTTTATTCTTAAATGTAACAGTATTTTACTTATAATATAGAGCTGCTATAGAGTGCCCAAGGAAGGTCTTTCAGCAAACATGACCAATTCAGAAAGAGTGAAACATAGGCATCTTAGTTAAGCCTTTTTATTTAATTGGCTTAGTTGCAGACTACATGTGACATCCATGTTCCTATAAAACATATCCTGGTATGCTGCATCATTCTTATTCTGTAAAACATGAGAACATGCTTCCATGGAGTGTGTGCTTTTTATGCTTAACTTTACTTGTGTTGGTACAAATGCTGCTCAGTATTTCCAAAATACTTAGACCAATGGTTCTCATCCTGTGGGTCTCCAGGTGTTTTGGCCTGTAACTCCCAGAAATCCCTGTCAGTTTATCAGCTGTTAGGATTTTTGGGAGTTGAAGACCAAAACATCTGGGGGCCCACAATTTGAGAACCACTGACTTAGACTGTGTTAATGGCATGCAAATATTTGTGTTTCCTGAGAACTCCATAAAAGGTAAAGGTTTCCCTTTGACATTAACTCTAGTCGTACCCAACTCTGGGCGGCGGTGCTCATCTCCATTTCTAAGCCAAAAAGCCGGCATTGTCCATAGATGCCCCCAAGATCATGTGGCTGGCATGACTGCATGGAGTGCCGTTACCTTCCTGCCAAAGCAAGACCTATTGATCTACTCACATTTGCATGTTTTCAAACTGCTAGGTTGGCAGAAGCTGGGGCTAACAGCGGGAGTTCATGTCGCTTCCCTGATTCGAACTGCCAACCTTTTGGTCAGCAAGTTCAGCAGCTCAGCGGTTTAACCTGCTGGGCCATCGGGGGCTCTGAGAATCCCATAATACACCAAATTATGCATTGAAACTTCTAAAATTGTGTTCAATTTGGCAGGAGGCTTCTTTATAGTGTAACCTCCCCATGGAGAATGCATTTCACCTTTTTCAGATCCTTCTATAACTATATCCTGTATGGCATTTCCCGCTTATTTCAGAGCATTCCAAAACTGTTCTGTACAAATCAAAAGGTATAAACTGGCCTGTCTTAAGCTGGGACTTGCTTAGGTATATTGACTTTGAATCAATTCAAATGAAGCAATGATCATATAAGGCAAAACTAAGCAACTTACATCTCCCCAGAGTTTGTGTCACAGCTCCCACCATTCCTGACCATTAGTCATGGGAGCTGGGGCTGATAGCAACAACATCTGGAGAGTGGTGCACAATTCAGTTTATGCACCACTGAGGTAAGGGCTATCATATGTCAACCCATGGCAAGATCCAAAGAGCAGTTTCAGATGCATCTAAACCCATTCTAAAAATGTAGATAAAATCTAGCTATATTGATCCAAGCTCATATATAGTTGCTCAATCATGTTGCATTTGTATCACTGTGTATTGGGAATATTAATCTATTCAAGATGTAATATTTCCATACATATAAAAGGAATAATGTATAGGATCGGGATAAACCATCCTAATTTTTGTCAAAATGGAAATAGACGTGCAAATGTAATAATTATTTTTATGTTTTTTAAGGGAAACTTTGATATTCATAACTATCAATGCTGAAATGTTTAAAGCCTACTACATGTATATTCTTTGCTTCCTTTTAAAATCAAGACAAAGGCTCAGCGGGATCCTCGTGCTTTATCCTCCCCAACAGTATCAAAAAGACGTTTGGAGGGTGAAAACAGACAAATATTGCCTTTTACGGATGAGCCAGGCACCATGGATGAGCCTGTAGGCATTTCTCCAGTTCTGACTAATGCCTTGGAGCATATTGTTGAGCAACTCGACATTCTGACTCTTGTGAGTTCCCACAACATCACATCTATGGGATTACCATTATTAAACAGTTTTCATTTCTCTGGACGAAATTCTAGCAAATAAAACCAGAAAGGGGTGGAAAGTAACAAGGAAGGCCTCTCTGTGTGGGAAGAGTGTATCTAAACACTGGGCTTCTGTCCCAGACTAGAAATCCATGTTTCAACCTTTATTTATTTTCTTACAAACTTGTTTATGGATTTGTACTCTATCCTTCAAAAGCTTTCCCAGGATGGGTTACATGGTAGCTCAGTTCATCGGTTCATGCAATGAGCAGGTACAGACTTCACTCTCTGTCCTTGCACAGCTCTTCAGCTGTGATAAATAAATACTAATGTTATAACAATCACCAAGATGAAGTTCATTAAAATTGGCATGCCATACATCTTTATAGATGTCTTTGTGAGATTCTGAAGAAAGAGAATGGAAGAACATTTAATGAAATCTAATTCAATTTATGTTTGAAAAGAAAAGCTATCATTTTCTTTATTTTTTCTTTCATAGTACTACATCTGAGCTAAAATAGCTTTAAATACCATATATACTCAAGTATAATCTGACCCAAATATAAGCCGAGGCACCTAATTTTACCACAAGTAAAATATAAGTATAAGACGAAGATGGGAAATGCTGCAGCAACTGGTACATTTTAAAATAAAAATAGATACAATAAAATTATATTAATTGAGGCATCAGTAGGTTAAATGGTTTTGAATAATTACATAAAACTGTAATTTAAGATAAGACTGTCCAGCTCTGATCAAACCATTATTCTAACCTTCTTCAATGTAAATGTGCTTATGTATCCTTCCAATAATAATAAAGAGAGTAAAATAATACATGTAATAAAAATAATAATAGAGTCAAATAATGGAAATGTAATAACAACAATAATAGAGTCAAATAATAAATGTTATTATTATTAAAGTAAAATAATAAATGTCATAATAATAAATAGAGTAAAATAATAAATGTCATAATAAATGTCATAATAATAATAATTAGAGTAAAATAATACAAGTAATAAAAATAATAACAGAGTAAAATAATAAATAACATTGACTGGAGTATAACCCAGGGGGGCTTTTTCAGCCTAAAAAAGGGCTGAAAAACTTGACTTATGCCCGCGTATATACAGTAAGTATATGTTGCATTTGTATCAGTAGTCTCCCATTATAAGGTAAAAAGCTGTCCTTTGATGAAAAATAGCCCCCTATGTTAATTGATTAATGATTTAAACCAAGAAGCCTTATATGTCAGATGCTTTGTATGCGTTAAATAGAAGTATGTCATAGTATTGTTGCTGTTAATCTTCATCACCGAGGTAGCACCGCAGCTCTATCTCTAATTGTGTTGGTTGAATCCAGAATATGCAGTGTGACATATACACAGAAGTTTGCTTGAAACTTCTCAGTGACTTCCTTCCTTTGAAGTCACATTTAAGTTTCTTTTTTCCTGATTCCAAAGATTATGTTACCCATAAAATAGCCCTTTTCATTTCAGCTGCAAAAAACTTCAGGAAAAGAGCACTAGATAAAATTGCTACAAAGCCATGGGGACTGAAAGTATTACTTGGATTATTATGTTGGAAATTTATCTGTAACATGAAATGTTTTTATGCCTTATGTGAGCTTGGTGATCACTTTGGCAACCATTTTCTGTACTTTTTAATCTGGAATGTTCTGTACATTTTATAGCTCTTTGTCATGACCTTTGGCTAGCACAATAAACATATTGATTGATTTAAGATACTCCACATTATAGTCGAGAACATGTTTAAAAAGCGATACCATTGAAGTGCTGAGTTCTAAGACAAGAATTTTAGAAAGACGTGGTGTTCATCCAAAAGCATTATGCATTTCTTTCAACTAGCAATAAGGGCATGCTGGGACCTTAAGAGCCCCCTGTGCAAGAGTAGAAGGCACTTCGAAGTGCGCCTGGAGGCAGAAGAAGCACCCTCCCTCAGCTGCAGCCTCCATTTCACAACACATGTTTCTTCTACAGCTGTTCAGGCAATGCAGCTGTTCAGGAAAAAGCTGGGAGGAGTTTAAAAATCCTGGCATGTGTGCAGAACATCTCACCTGGTTCTTTGGATCTCAGCTTTTCAAAGAGGATCTCTCAACACTCCCTTTTCCAGTGCTATCTCTTGGTAAATAAGGTAGTTCCTTGGAGGATTTATTTCCCACAGCAGCTAATGTGCAAATATACATCCTGGTGGTGCCACGTGGGAATTCTCTGCCATAGCTAATATTTAGGATTAGAAAAACCTACTTGAGAGCTCTTCTTTAGCACTGTATTTTGATGCTGAAAATATTGTGTACCTTACTTGCACATACTCTATATTAAAAGTACAGACATCAATATCCAAATTCATGGCATAGCTAAAGGTTATTTCCAAAACTAAATTTTCATAGGACTTCTGTTGCTTAGCAAGCCTTTTCTCAGGGCTGGAATATCTGAACCAAACTTTGCATTTTTTTAATGTGTTAGGAGCAGGGTGGTTTTTTGTTTTTTTGCAAATAAAACAATGTCAATAATAAGCACTTCTTCTCCTTTCCTAACAGACTGTCTCAATCTTGGAGCAGCGCTTGACTCTGACAGAAGATAAACTGAAAGAATGCTTAGAGAACCAAGAGAAGCTGTTACTTTCTGTTCATCAATTAAAATAACTCATATGTATCTTGATGTACACTTTTTAATATATATTCAGGAAATAATGAATGCCGGTCTTGAAATAAAGCAAACAAAAAGTGCCTGTGAGAAATGTACTAATCATTGATAACATTTTAACTTGTAATTTTTTAAGTATTAAATATATTTTGCTTATTTTCTGAATATCCCATCTCTTTCATTTGGACTACACCTGACATATTTTGTCTATACAGCACCTAATTCCCTCCCCCCCCCCCCAATATATATAACAATGGAGGGACTTCTTAAGAAATTCATTGTTATCTGACTAAGAAAAGGGTAGTTAGTTAGTTTTCCACAGGAAGAAGCAGTTCGGATTTTAAGTTTCTTTTCTGTCGCTAATAGTTTAAATTGTATTACCTATCTTTTATTGCCCTTTGGGCCCATCCCCACGTGGCCATGAAAGGGAATGCTTTCTACCTGCATTGAGACATCTCTAGTCCAGTGGTTCTCAACATTCCTAATGCCATGACCCCTGAATATAGTTCCTCATATTGTGGTGACCCCCAACTATAAAATTATTTTTGTTGCTACTTAATAACTGTAATTTTGCTATTGTTACGAATCGTAATGTAGATATCTGATATGCAGGATGTTTTTTCAGTCACTGGACCAAATTTGGCACAAATACCCAATACTGGCGGGGTTGGGGTGAATTGATTTTGTCATTTGGGAGTTGTAGTTGCTGGAATGTATAGTTCACCTACAATCAAAGAGCATTCTGAACTTCCATCAACTATGGAATTGAACCAAACTAGGCACACAGAACTCCCATGACCAAATAAATAAATAAATAAAAATACTAGGAGAGTTTGGTAGGCATTGACCTTAAGTTTAGGAGTTGTAGTTCACCTACATCCAGAGAGCACTGTGGACTCAAACAATGATGGATCGGGACCAAACTTGGCACGAATACTCAATATGGCCAAATGTGAACACTGGTAGAGTTTGGGGAAAATAGACATTGACATTTGGAATTTATAGTTCACCTACAATCAAAGAGCATTCTGAACCCCACCGATGATAGAATCGGCCAAACTTCCAATAGAGAACCGCTATGACCAACAAAAAATACTATGTTTTTTGATGGTCTTTGGTGACCCCGCTGACACCCCCCTTGCGAACCCCCCCAGGGGTCCCAACCCCCAGGTTGAGAAACACTGCTCTAGTCCCCCCCCTCTCTCTATATATATATACACACACGCACACACAATTTTTCAAATCTTTGCCTCATGAAGAAGCCAATGAAGTTTCAAAAACTTGCCTGATACATTTTCTGCATTTTGGCTGACCAGTAAAGGTTTTGTCCTTTGGTTCTATTGTATTTTACAATGCTGCTTTGCCCAGAAGAGGCAGTTACTGGCTTTTTATTGCTTGTTTGTGTTTAATGAAGGCTTCCATTCAGCACCTCATGGCAATTAGCTTTATCCAGTTTCAAGGTATAACCTTGGATACATTTCAGCAAGCATTGGGGTTATTTAGAATTTATCCATAAGAGAAAACATGGACTTAATAAACTAGTATGAAACTGTCAGAAAGATTACCTGGAGAGGAGAAAGGACTGAGTCACCCTTTTAGATGTTTCTGCCTAAACTTGTAGAAAGAAAAGTAGTTTCAGCTTGGGTTGTTCCCCAGATCCCAAAAGAAATCCATGCTCTTTGAGAGAGAAAACAGATGAAAGAGGAACGGCTTGGGAACTGTCTGGTGCATCCTTGGATGCTGCAGCATTTCTATTGAAGTTTTTCCAGCACTTGATGAGAGAAACCTGAAAGCTGTACTGTGTTTATGTTATTTCACCTGTATTGAATATCAAGGTCTGTGGCAAGATGAATCATTTAGAAAGCCCAATGGAGCACATTTGCACAAGACAATTGTTTCTGGGAGCAGCTGTATCAGGAAAAAAGTTCAAAAGGTGCTAAAGCATCTGTAAGCTGGGGATTTTTAAATAGGTAAACTCCAGCGGCTTCATGTTCCCTCCTTCTCACATCTCTGTCAACAAAACATTAAAGCAACCATCCTGTTTCAGGCAGGAAAAAGCCTAGACTGCTGCAGGTAACATTTCTTTCTTACTGAAAGCATGTCATACTTGCAATAGGTTTTGTTTGGTGTGTTTAAAGATGTGGGCTTAAACCTTCTAGGAGTATGTTTAAGATTAAACACTTCCTTGTGTTTAGGAAGGATTTTCTTTTAATTAAGGGCAAAAATGCAGGTGCAGAATATCCTCCCTTATTTATTGCTAGATTTTAATTTTATATAACTTTGTAAAATAGACTTGTTAAAGTAGTCGTGTTGGCTGATGGATTGTGAAAGCTGTACACTCAATAATGTTTCTAGGAGCTGGTAGTAACATTACAGAATTTAGACTAAATTCAATTTGCTTTTGTGTACAATGGGCAGCCGTGTGTTCTTTCTTTTGTCTAAAGTTCTTGGAACCAGAAAATTGCAATATATGGCAGCTGAGCCTGGTTTGTTCATTTGGGATACACCTGAGCAGCTTGACATATGTCTCCAAATTTTTGGAATATGGCAGACTTCGGATTAGACCATTCTGGTATTCTACACTCAGCACTGATTTTTTCCCCATGCTGAACATAAGAGGAGAGGGGCAATAAGTACTATATATACCCAAATTAAAGCCTAGTTTTTCAGCCCTTTTTTCGGCTGAAAAGCCCCCCCCCCTCAGCTTATACTTGGGTGAGGGTCCTGGCGAGAAGGCGTGGGGCTGAAAGAAGGGCTTTTTTCAGCCCCACACCTCCATGCCAGGACCCTCTCCTCTCCACACAGCAACACAGCTCTCCTTTCTCTCTTGCAGTGCGCATCTTCTCCTTTCCCACGCACCACACAACTTCCTCTCCTCTCTTAAGTGTAGCGTGCATCTTCCTCTCCTCCTCTCTTGGCACCAGTGTTTCCCACTTTTCCTTATTCATATACATACAGCATTTTCCCCAAAATGTATAGTTAAAATAAACTATAAAGATTATTGAAAGGATACGTAAGCACATTTACATTCAAGAAGGTTGGAATAATTATTTAATCAGAGTTGGACAGTCTTATCTTAAATTTATGTAAATATTTAAAAAAATTTAACCTACTGATGCCTCAATTAATGTAATTTTATTGGTATCTATTTTTATTTTGAAATTTACCAGTAGCTGCTGCATTTCCAACCCTCGACTTATACTCGAGTCAATAAATTTTCCCAGTTTTTTTGTGATAAAATTAGGTGCCTCTGCTTATATTTGGGTGGGTTGTTACTCAAGTATATACAGTACCTTCCCATAGGATTGTTTTGCTCTGGGATGTATGTATTTAAAATGAAATTCTGATTAGTTGTCAAGGGAATGGTTGATTCCAGGAGTCATTTATATGAGATTTTTATGAGAGGATGGTCTTGGAAGACAAACAAATGCATCTATTGGAGGAAATACTTTTCAGAATCTTTTCCCATTCTCAAGTCATTCACTGCTGTCCACCAATGTGATAGGCAGGTTTTTATCACATACTGCTTTTATAAAAATGCAAACGACAAGATAATCACAATTTATCATTAGTGTATTAATAGTAAGCCAGCACTATCACTATCACCCTCATTTCTTTTGTGCATTGAAATGTGATACAAGTAAGGCCCTGCTTGACCATGGAAACCGCTTTGGGCAAGTTACACTATCTCAGCTTCAGAGGGAGGAAAAGGTGAATCCCCTCTGAACAAATTTTGCCAGGAAAACCCCACGACAGGTTCAGCTTGGAACCCTATAAGAAGTGACTTAAAGGCACAGAGCAATAGTAACAAAATAATTTTTTTTTCAGTAACAGTTTTGGAAATGCCAGGGACCATTTCCAACATCTGCCTCTTACAGTTTGTTGAAGGAAAGAATATAATCTGTATACATTTGACAGAATAATTGTTCTTGCACTAGAGTGCAAAACAAGAGAGGCTTTTTTCACTATTTCCAGGAGTGTATTTGATAATCCTGTGGTTATGCTTTGCAAATTGGATTATAAATCTAGAAGAGTCTAAAATAATTCTTTTTCATTGCACAGTAGGATTTTATCTGTATTTTTAATACCAGAATACCTCCGCAATCCATACAACACCTTACATTTGGACAGATGAACTGTTGGCACTTCAGTTGGTCTAAACTCTAGATTGTTTATTGGCCCTCATCTAGTCCATTTTATGGGTAATTGAGGATATCCAGCACTTCACTTGATGATGTAAATGAGAAGAGCTGTGTATCATCAGTATACTGATGACAGTGCCCTTTTAAACTCTATATGACTCCCCTCAGTGTTTTCTTGTGGGTTTTTAAGGAAGAGGTTAAGTCTGACCTCTGTATAACCCCAACCTGATTTGTCTTTGAGACTGAACAACACCTTTTCATATTGACCATCCAAGTAGGAGCAGAGTAAACATCTTGCACATCAGCAACTGACACTCATGCAACAAATGTGAAAATGCCCTGAATGCCTCACTTGAAAACTCAAGTGAAGAATTATCTTCCTGCCAGCACATGCTGACATCTGGAATGGCCCAATAGCTGTCTTGATGGCCATAAAAGCTTGAGTTGTCCCAGACCTGGCCACCTTGGTAGTTGATGTATGCTAATACTAATAACTTGGGGAACCTCAGCACCACTTCTAGGGCCAGTTCCACTAGCTTAGGTAGAGAGACTGCTAGTCCCTAGAATAGATAGTATACAAGCAGAATTCCTGGGCCATTGGACCCCGGGCCTACAAAATTGAGTGTCATCAATTTTCCAGTAAATTCTCTTATTAGCCACTTCTTAAATCTCCAATGTGATCCCCTACTGTTTAGAGTTAAAACAGCTATCCAAAATAAAAAGTGTAGGAATATGATTAAGCACTGGTCAGTGCCTATTGAAGTTACTAACACCAACATATGCTAGTTGTATAGTAATTTGAGAGAAAGTGGGATACAAATACTATAAATAAAATAATAAAATAAATAAATCCAAAAAATTATTACAGATTTGCTCAATTGTTTTTCACAATTTGCTTTGATATTTCAGTCTTGTAGGACGTAACTGAATGAAACTAGTATTTAAATTAGTCATGACATTTGTAGAAGAACTGTGTGATGCAACATTTTTATTATTTTATACAGCACACCAACAAAATCATTA